TGGTTTCATATAGATTGAATTTGCCCTGGCTCTGCCCACATCCTTTATCTGATCTCACCTAGGTTTTTTTGGAGTGTGAGCCTCAGCTTATCGATCAAAGTCCAAAAATGATGCCCCCCTCCCTTAAAGAGTGGAATGATGAGCAGGTACTTAGCGTGACGCAACGTTCCCTTGCCAAGGAAATTACTCCTCCCTCCCCCTCAAATCTGGAGCACCTCCCACGGCTGTCGTAATCTAGAGTGAGAATTTGCCCTGCAATGGGTGCCACAGTAGCCTAGCTCAAATGGAAGATGAGTGAGCAGGGACCCATATCTCTTTCCCTTCAAAGCAACCTTGTGCTGCTGCACTTTTTCATGCCATGTTCTTCAGGCTGAGGAGAAGGCAGAGGAGGAGGCAACCAAGCATGAGCGATCCAAAGGCTCTGATTGTGACATCTATGTGCCATCAAATGGCTGAGGGAGGATGTGGGTGAAGACAGGCTTGAAAGAAGGGGGTAGAGTTTCCAAATTTGGAATAACTGAGAAAGAAAAAGTTGGCACATGAAGTGGGGACAATTAAAAATAAACCTTCCCCCACCTCCTCTCTTGCTGCAAAATAAGCTTGAAGAGCCTCACTCCAGGTGTCTCCCTGTCTCCTAAAATAACCCAGAATGCTGCTACTGTCTCTCTCTTTTTCTCTGTGATGCTTTCCTCCCCATCTCAACGAGTGCCTTGAGTTTCCATGGTGACTGCAAGCCATGTCGCTAGGGTGACAAGAAAGAAAAATATTTTAAAAATCAAAAAAAGAGGTATTTTGTGTTTTTTTTTTACTTGAGGGATTTATTTATTCTTTTTTTTTTTTTTAACCAAGATGAGGCCTAGTCATTTTCAACCCTTGTCCAACTGAGTACCTCCTAGAGTCACGGCCATGCTGCCTAAGAATTTAACACCCCTAATGAAACATATTGAGGAAGACATTCTTTTTCCTAAGACTTCTTCTCCATCACAACTGCTTACATACACATAGAGTATATAAGAATGTCTTGTAGGAGATGCCTGATTCCTCTTCTACGCCAGCAGTAGTAGACCATGCTCCTTAAAAGTTCTCCCACATGGCATGTTGATTTCAGAGTTGGTTTTGATTAGAATGATGTATAAGTCCAATCAAATAAATAAATAATCCAATTCTTATTTGTTATGGATATAAAATTTCTGCATATGCCCTTCAAAATCTGAAGGCATGTGCAAGAAAGAATTGCAAAACATGGGTCTGAGTCTTGAATTTAGGGCCTCCAAGCATGGAGGTTTGCTTTATGTATTTATGGTAATATTTATATTCCTCAGTCTTCTGCACAATTCTAGGTTCCTCACAACAATTACTAACATAGAAATATAAAACAATGAAACAATTGGAGAGAAACACAACAGCAGTAATAAAAAACACGAAAGCAATGTGATAAAAAAGCAACAAGTTTATACACAGTAGGCCTTCCTCTGAAGTCAACTTCCTATATTTCTTAGGGAAAGCTACTGCAAAGGAACGACTCCTAAGGAGTCCTCTCCAACACCAAAAGTGTCAGTTCTCTTTCTATCCTGCTTCTTCAAATTCTAACATATATATCCATAAAGTATTACATGGAATAGCATTACTTGCATTATTCTGATCTTTCTAGATATAGAACAGGGGTGTCAAACTCGATTTCAATGAGGGCCGCATCAGGGTTGTGTTTGACCTCGGGGGGCCAGGGGGGGCATGGCCAGGGTAGGTGTGGCCAGCTTGACGTCACTCGTGCCGGGGGGCACCTGTGGAGGCCCAAGCGTTTTGCCAGTGAAAATGGGCTCCTAATATCTGTTTTTGGCCGCGATGGCCTCCTGCAACCCTCTGCCAGCGAAAACAGAGCTGTTTTTGCTGGCAGAGGGCTGCAGGAGGCCTTCGCTACCAAAAATGGGGCCTGGGAGGGCCGTGCGTGGCCCTCTTGAGCTCCATTTTTGCTGTCAGAGGCACTGGGGGCTGGTCCTTCACTGTTTCCAGGGTGGCCCCATGGGCCAGATCTACTGTAAGCACCCCGCAGGCAGGATCCTGTGTCTTGAGTTTGATACCTCTGGTATAGACAGATCACAACAATTGATCTTTTGGTTGAAGACCTCAAAGCTTTTGTGGCTGTTCTATTCTTAAGTGCTATTTGGTATTTTTTTTGTCATTCCTGATTAAATAGTTTACATGGCGTGGAGATTTTCTTTATCTTTAGACAAGACCAGGATTCATTGGGGCTAATTCTAATCTGCCTCTGGGTGGACTACAGAATCAGCAGAATATGCTTCCTATCCCATGGCCATGTTGTGTGAACAAGACCAATAGAAACCAGAGACTTGAGATGAAAATCCATGTAAAATTTTGCAGCTCAAAGACAACAGCAGTGAGTTAGAAATGCCTATTGAAATAATTAAAAAAACTAAATAATAAAAGTAGCTTGGGGTGACAGTACATTTACAATTGAGGTCCATAGAAAAGTTTTATAAACTTGTATGGTTATTTAAGTGTTTGGTGTTTCAGCCAGATTCTCTCTTCTATATTAGCCACACATATAATAGAACCTCCCAATCCATATTCCTTCCTTCCTGCCTTTCCTCCCTCCTCCCTCCCTCCCTCCTTCTCTCTCTCTCTCTCTCTGTCAAATATAAATATCACCCATCTCACTCCCAGAGTGACTTTAATGTAGGTTCATATGGATTATATGGATTAACTTGTTCTTAAGCCATTTAGGCTGTAAATAAAGAAATAATTTTCACTTCAGACTAAGTTTGGATATGAATGAGAAGTCAATAAATCCATAAGGACTCTTGATTAATGTGTGACAAATTGATGCATGCTCATGGGATTCAACAGTATCCCACAGAGTGTCTAGTCCCATGATGGCAAACCTATGGCATGCGTGCCGGAAGTCATCTCCACCGGCACGTGAACTGTTGCCCCAGAGCAGGTCCACTGCACAGGCGCACTTGCCGCCCGCCTGCCAGCTGATTGTGGGGTAGCTGCTGCACATGTGCAGGGAGCAGGGTGCACACAGGAGACACGTGTGCATGAGTAGAAATGCATGGTGCATGTGGGGGTCATGTGCGCATGCACAGAGATGCACAATGCACATTGGAGGGTCACATCTGCATGCGCAGAGATGCGCAATGTGTGCAGGGTTTCTGCGTGCATGCACAGTGGGCATGGCCCCCCCGCGTGCATTGCCTTATGGGTGCTGGCACATGTGCGCACACGCACTTTTGGCGCACGAGGACGGAAAGGTTCGCCATCACTGGTCTAGTCAATTGGCAGTGTTTGAATAGAGTGAATCTTATATTTTCTTTCTTGGTACATATTCAGAATTTAAGCTCTCTCACTAATGCTTTTGCACAGTTGATGTTGTCCTGTACTTTGAGTATAAGGTCCTTAAGAAAATGGGTCCATTAAAAGTTAATTTTGTAACCAGTACTAGAGGATTTTCAGCAATGAAAAACATTGTTCTATTGGATAAAGTAACAGACAGAATTTTCTTTGCTAAGATGCTGGTTTCCCGGTTTGCTCTTCTTCTGTTTCTCCTGTTAAATCAGAAAGCCAAGATCTTTTCTCTCTGGCCATTTTCTTTGCATCTTCTGCATGTGTTCTGAAAACAAGGTGCTATTCAGGGGTG